CGGCATTTTTAAGAACTATCAATACTTTTTGTTGTTGTCACGAATTTCGCAACAACAAGAAGTATTGATAGTTCCTAAAGTTGCCGCAGATTCTATTTAGGCGCCACCGCCATTCACTGTCACGTCAAATACATTGGTTCTTATGGCAGAGAAGCACACGTTGACCAAATGAAATCGCATTTGATGGATATCAATCAAGTGAATAATATTGAAATTAATAATACACTTCGAAAGTAGTTTACCATGTCGAGCGTAAACTGATTTGGCGGGTAATTAAGTCGTAGGCAAAAATTAATTTCTCTAAAGCGCATTCGAAACTTATTTCAGCTTACATGTACCATATGGCTAGGCGACCGTTGAAAATGTGATACCTTTTGATATTTTATTTATTGACTTTGATTTTTTTCAATATCCCTACGAGACAAGCTACGAGAACGAATCCATTTCAAATGCACGGATATACCGATATACGTATAGTAGAGTACGAATTAAACATTCCTTTTGAATGCATGATTTTCGATTTTCCATTCGTAATTTCGACGGGAAGTTTTGCACTCGTGCCACACGAAACTGATTACTAAAGTAACGGTACTTTTTTCCGATACAGCTCGATAATTGTAGTTAATATCTACTATTCGATATGCTCCATTTTAATTCAGCGCAACTGCGGAAGTTCTTTAATTGTAAGAGTATCAATAATTCAACTCGTATTTCGGTCAGTTTTCCAACTATGCGATTGCTTTAGCTTTCGAATGCATTGAACAATCGGATATTTTATGATGAAGAAAATGCTAAAATCAACACACATAGTCCGAATTAATAGCCGTTGTTAAGTTTGAAAATATTTATTTCTTTATGATTTGTATTTTTCACGAGTTAAATAGTAAATTATTAATGAATTTGAAAGGGTTTAAAAAGCGATATCACCATTCACTGTTGATGAAAAAAGAGAGTGAAGTAGACACAAAAATGTGTTATTTGAAAAGAAAGAACAATGAAATAGTCGAATCGTAATCTATATATTACATATAAGACTGTTTATTCTTTATTATACCTTCATGCGACACATACAAGAGATTTGATAATTGAAATTCAAAACAATTCGCTTCGAATATATTTATCGACTTGACATGTTGAAGAAAATTCAATTGATGTGATGCCGTTTTTTGTTTTTATTTTCAAATTTTAATCGGAGAATGAACTTTACTGATTGTAGTATTGATAACACGTTGTGATTCTGGCGCATTTATTCTGGTTTTTTCATTAAATTTTCTTTTCATGTCACAACCAAAATAATTTCGCTGTTAATGACGCCAGGTTTTAAGCGCTTCTTGTCCACTGACTGGTATCGCCTGTGATTTACAAATGAAACAAATGATTAAAATTCCATCCAATTTCACTGACAAAATTCGGAACTGCTTCGGACATGCTTTGTATTGAATAAAAACGCCGTTTTATTGACAACAAACTTCATACATCCCCAAGATACCGTTGCAGAATCCTCAATCTTTATAATGCCACCCTTTTCCTAGTGTTGGACAAAAATCGCAAGTTTAGAAAATTATAAATTTTCTGGTTTCTTTTAGGAATATCCAAATCAAACAATATTCAAATTCAATTCTAAACGTCTTTTTATTCAATGTTCGATTGAAGCAAGTAGTGTATGTCAACTTGAGTGTCGATTATTTGGACATACTATTATTACACAGGTTATAATCGGTATAAGCAACGTCCTTCGACCCATGTTAGATTGGGTTTATGGCAATACAATCCTGGACAGCAAAATGATTGGCTTCCATGTGCTCCGTTGCATGGTGCATAAAAAAATAAACAAGTTCCAGCCACGATTGGAGCAAAAGCACTTAAAGCCAAAATGGCAATAAGGAGAATGACGAAATTTGCCTTCATTTCGATCTGCAATAAAGAAAGAAAGAAATTAATACAATTTTTTAGGACTTCCAATGAAACTTTTTAAAAATATAAACAGAAAAACCTTAGAAGTTCTGGTGTATTAACCAAATTAAAATATCAGCTGGATAAGAAAATTAAACTGTTTGGCACAATAGCGATTGGAATTGTCATAAGAGTGGAGTACTGCTTCTCAACTGGTTGAAGTGATGTGATGAACTGCTCAAGTAAAAGTCCGATATTTATATTCAAAACCCCTCCATCATTATCACATTTTTCGGCGGAAAGCTTTTCGAAATAAATGCATAATAAATATTTACCACACAAACATTTACCAGTTCGCAGAAAATTTGGCGAAAATTAATATCAACAAACTACTTCCAAAATACAATCAGCTATAGTCACTGCGTCCGAATTTCTAAGAATTACTATTTGGAAGATATTTTAAATAATTGAACAGGTGCGATAGGAAGTTACCATAAGAATATTTGAGAAAATAAGCGAAATATGGATTTTGTCTACGAACAAAAATCAACACCGCATGTTTTGAATCGATGGGACACGAATCATGGTTTGGACCAAAACTAGCTTTGTGTCACTTTGTTTCTCAATTCAATGTTGTTTCAAGATCATATTCAGCAGTGTGAGCGAGATGGAATGAGTTTTCGAGCGCGAGGCAATAAGAACTTTGGAACTGGAAGCCATCTACTTTTTATATAAGCAGTTTGGCAGGCGATGGAGGTATTATTTTTGCCGAATTCCGCTTGGAATTCCAAGTTTTGGCCAAGTTTTTGCGCGAGCTCTTTAATTGTAAGAGTATCAACAATTCAATTCGTATTGGGTGTATGCATTAAAAACGAGCGTTTTTTATCGAAAAATAATCATTTAATTCAATAACAAAATGAAATTATATTTCAATCAAAGTATTGCCCATCGGCAGCGACACATTTTTCCCATAAATCAGGCAATTTATGGATTCCATCCTAAAAGAACTGCGCCGGCTTAGCGGCCAAGAACGAATCAAGCCAATTTTTGACTTTTTGAAAACAAGTGAACCGTCCTCCACTTAGGTGATATTGAATCGACTGAAACCAGTGGTAGTAAGAAAGCGCAATGTCTGAGGATTACAGCGGGGGCATAAAGGATTTTCAAAATTAATAGCTTCTTAGAAATTTTGGACTTGATAGCCAAAAAGTCATTTAAGAAAATTTCCTCAAAAATTCGCTTTTTTGCGGCGATAAGTCAATTTTTCGATTTTGCTGTCAGAAATTGGTATATACCGATTAGTTTCTGTTGGGAACGATAAAAGCTAATATTTTGATAAGTTTCTACCACCTTCCAATGCACCATATCTGCCCCAAACCGGCAAATATGGAAAATCAACCTTTTCGAGGGAGTGATTGTGGCGCCCCCTATAATTACAAGTAACCACGATCAAAATGTGGTTTGATATGCTTGTATCTATCGAGAAACGTCCATTCTTCACTACCAGTGTCCACTCGATAAAAGAATAATCTATTTTTCACATTTTTCCCGTATGAAAAAAACTGCTCCCGCAAATGACGTTTTTTTGGTTCGAAATTCTCCATATTCGTAACTTAATTTTTCGCTTTGTTTACACTTTGGGCAAATGACAGATGGTGATTTTTGTAGCCTGTCATTAGCCCTACCATATGAAGTTGGCGCCAGTATTGCCCGATGCCACCAGCGATGGTGGTGCCATCCGGCGAAAATCGCTCGTTTTTAATGCATACACCCAATATTTCGGTCAGTTTTCCAACTATGCGATTGCTGTAGCTTTCGAATGCATTGAACAATCGGATATATTATGATGACAAAAATGCTAAAATCAACACACATAGTCCGAATTAATAGCCGTTGTTAAGTTTGAAAATATTTATTTCTTTACGATTTGTATTTATCACGAGTTAAATAGTAAATTATTAATGAATTTGAAAGGGTTTAAAAAGCGATATCACCATTCGCTGTTGATGAAAAAAGAGAGTGAAGTAGACGAGCAAAAATGTCTTATTTGAAAAGAAAGAACAATGAAATAGTCGAATTGTAATCTGTATTACATATAAGACTGTTTATTCTTTATTATATCTTCATACGACACATACAAGAGATTTGATAATTGAAATTCAAAACAATTCGCTTCGAATATATTCATCGACTTGACATGTTGAACAACATTTAGTTGATTTGATGCCGTTTTCTGTTACTTTTCCACACGACCATGTAAGAAAAGTATTGTAATCGCCTCCAACTGGATCGGCCGTTATTAATTATTGCTGAGGAATCAATGTTTGATTCATCTATTTGATTTTTATTAATACGAAAGTGTTATTTAGCCTTTTTAAACTTCATGTTTACAAAAACATAGAATAAAAATGTAATTGGGTGTTGAAATTATTGCACTGTAATATTGGTTATTGATGTAATCAATGTTGGCTACTATTGTAATCAATTTCGATGGCCGCTCCAAGGACGCGCATGTTATGTCTCATGAAACTATGTTTTTATTATATTCCTATTGCGCCAAACAAAGGTGATGAAAATAATAGTGACACTTGAATCAAAACATTTATTATGTTATAATCATATTTATTTAGAAAAAGTGAAAAAAATCAATCAGAAATATATGACCGATCCAGTTTTTGTGTGGTCGCTCCACCAGCATGATTGTTAGTTGTGCAGCTGACCAACTGACAAGCAAACTGCAGCGCTAGTGTCTATGTGTCTAAATTTTCAATCCCCAGTTTTGTCTGGATTCACCAGTTTTGTCTGGATTCATTTAACCTTGAGACAAAAAGGCTGGAAATCGTAAAAACCAACAGATTTCTTCTTCTGCATAGCACAACACAATCATTTCGTTTCAAAAAGACGCGACATGACAAATCGTTGTTGACAAAAAAGAGAGAATTAATGGACGAGAATAAAATGTAAATTGGAAGAGAAGAAAGAGAAAAGAATGACAAAATTTACTGAAAGATAAATGCTGCCCTCGCGCGTAGAATAAACTTAGCAGTTTAGAAAATTATAAATTTTCTGGTTTCTTTTAGGAATATCCAAATCAAACAATATTCAAATTCAATTCTAAACGTCTTTTTATTCAATGTTCGATTGAAGCAAGTAGTGTATGTCAACTTGAGTGTCGATTATTTGGACATAATATTATTACACAGGTTATTATCGGTATAAGCAACGTCCTTCGGCCCATGTTGGATTGGGTTTATGGCAATACAATCCTTTACAGCAAGTTGATTGGCTTCTATGTGCTCCTTTGCATGGCGAGTCATGTTTTAAACAAGCTTCAACCACGATTGGAGCAAAAGCACTTATAGCCAAAATGGCAATAAGGAGAATGACGAAATTTGCCTTCATTTCGATCTGCAATAAAGAAAGAAAGAAATTAATACAATTTATTAGGACTTCCAATGAAACTTTTTAAAAATATAAACAGAAAAACCTTAGAAGTTCTGGTGTATTAACCAAAATAAAATATCAGCTGGATAAGAAAATTAAACTGTTTGACACAATAGCGATTGGAATTGTGGTAAGAGTGGAGTACTGCTTCTCAACTGGTTGATGTGATGTGCTGAACTGCTCGAGTAAAAGTCCGATATTTATATTCAAAACCCCTCCATCATTATCACATTTTTCGGCGAAAAGCTTCTTAAAATAAATGCATAATAAATATTTACCACACAAACATTTACCAGTTCGCAGAAAATTTGGCGAAAATTAATATCAACAAACTACGTCCAAAATACAATCAGCTATAGTCACTGCGTCCGAATTCCTAAAAATTACTATTTGGAAGATATTTTAAATAATTGAACAGGTGCGATAGGAAGTTACCATAAGAATATTTGAGAAAATAAGCGAAATATGGATTTTGTCTATTATTTTTGCCGAATTCCGCTTGGAATCCCAAGTTTTCGCCATGTGTAGATTTTTCATATAATCCAATACAATTGAATAATGTTATTATATCCAAATGTTTCGAAGGTGGCCTTTTGTCGCAACGATTCAGTTGTTATCTTACTGAGAGTTGTTCTTCTTGCATTACCAGAATCTACTGTACAAATAACAAATATTCGCCAGTTCGCAGAAAATTTGGCATTAATATCAACAAATTGCGTCCAAAATATAATTAGGTATATTCACTGCAATTGCGTTGCTTGAATTGCTAAGAATCTCTATTTACGTGGAAATTCCATTTGAGCTTCAGACGAAATGATTGAAATTCGACGAAATGATATTATTATGAATGACGCAAGGCACTTATTGTGTTGCAATCAATTATAATTATTAATCACAATCACTTCGGTTCTAAAAACGCGATATGACAAATCGTTGTTTACGAAGAATGACGAGGAAGAGAGACTAAGTGGAAGAGAAAAAATTGCGAAAATTTCGTGTTTATTTCTCAAAGACGCAACCTATACTCAAGAGGTTTTATTGAAGAAATTCAAAAAAACATCACTTCCGATGCATTTATCAATTTAACATGTGCAGAAACACTTGATTGATATGATGCCGTCTTTTTCTCTCTTATTTTGATTGGAAACTACACTTAATATTATATACAATACGTTGTGCACCTGGTGGTGCATATACATCATTATCATTTGCCTTTTTTGCACTACATGAAATGTAGAGCTATTAATCTGCTATTTTTTCTTAATACTTTTTGAGTGATTGTTTCATCATGAATTATGATGAATTTGAATTTGATGCTCATATTTTTTATTTAATTTAAAACAGTGGCAGTAACGACAAATAAGTGCATAATATCTCAAAGCGCCAATCAAATTTTTATTATCAAATGTTTTTTAAAAAATTTCTATTAATTAAATCAAAATCGTTTTAGTTGCAACAATATGCCTGCTTTCCAAAGATACCATTGCAGCGTTTCCATTAGTGGACATGCCATCCTGGAATGGAAATGATAAATGTTTATTCGCTTATTGCCAACAAATCACATTCAAGTTCTTATCAGCTATATTCACTACCCAGTCGCCTGCTGAGTGAGCGTGGTATCCTGTCCAACGACATTCAGCTCCAACCACGGACACCATCGCTAGACCAACGATAGTCAAAATGCAAACTTCGAGCACTAGTTTCCAAACCATATTGACTTATGAACTTCCAGAGCTTATTAACAGATGAAAGCATTTTACACCTTTATTTATCCCAATTCGTTCTACCTAAATTAGTTCATTTTAATTGATAATAATTTTGTTGTTATTCCCATTGAGGCATTATTATATCTTGTTTAAAAATAGAACCTTGGCTTTTTATCAACAAATTACATCAGGTATATTCAATACGGTCTCATCGCCTGAATAACTAAAAATAGTCATTATCTTGGCAATTAATTTTTTGGCAAAAACACAATCGACACAAATCATATCAACAAACAGTTGATATATTCTCTTTATCGTTAATGATTTTTAGCTGCAGCTATTTTGATTTTGTGACTATCAGGCCAACAAAAAAAACTGGTTGAACTTTTGAATTTGTAACATATATTCATAGGGAACATTGGAATATAACCAAACCAAAAAATAGCTGCAGCTAATCAGAGCATAACACTTAATAACAGATATTTTGTTAGCCGAATGTAGTCATTGCTGAATAAAATAAGAGTAAAAAAAAGCCGAACAGGTTTTGGGTTAAACAAACAAGTTAAAATTCAATGAAACAAACTGATATTTTTTCGTATGATGCCTTGATGCGGCGCACTTCTGAAGTATTTTTCACTTGTAGTCTTACTAATTGTTGCAAATCTATTCAATTAAAAATAGCATTATCAGTTTAAAAAATATTTTAATTAAATTGTTTCTAGTGTAATTGGTAGGTATGAATGAATAATTTGCTCCGCAAAGTACTTCCGTAAAAAACCGATCGATTTCTGTCCTATGGAAAAAATCTTTTCAGAGGTCACTTTAGTGCTCCGATTCGTGTTTCATTTTAGTTAACATCAACAACTACACAGATTTTACGTTGTTCCTCACACAGAGATACACAAACACCAATGCAGTGTCCGCATTCATTATTATATCTTTCGGCATCTGTCGCTCTCTGTATCATCTATAGTGATGCGTAATACAGAAGATAAACGATAGTGCAATATCATCGATTGTCTCTTTCGCACTTCAATGTGCGTGCGTAATACGGTATAACCGACGCTTGAGTGAATGATGACCAATACGTATTGAAATGAATAGTTATTTATTTGTATTGCCATTGCTCACAGTGATGCTCACTGCTCACGGTTGTGTGAAAAAGGCAACAAGTCATATTTTAGCATATAACAATTTTCGTACGACGCACCAACAAAAATTATTCAGAAAAATGAAACGCAGTATTTCATACAGACACCGTATCGGTTTTTACATGTTTTGAGCGTGTTGCTTTGGGTTTGCGAGTGTAAAGTATTTGAATTCTTAGAATTGAGAACCAAAACCTAACGGTATGTTGTTGACCAATATACACTCGCAAAAGCAGCAATGCAATAGCATTCAGTCACAGTACACATCGATCGCAACTGTGAAAAGAGTGAGGATTCGTCTGCATATGTGTTGCATAGAGTCTGATTTGTTGTTATGGACATGCGGTGCCTCTTTCGGGAGGTTCTTTCTGAACATTGACCAAAAAAATACTTGGATTTATTTTTGTTCCGTTTTAGCAAATGAACTGGTGCCGTAAAGTCATACTAAATTACTCAAGTATTTTGATGATGCTACTTTTTGACTCTACAATATTAGAATCGCAACGATTCAATTGCTTTAATTTGCTTGATTCGGCAAGCGAATACTACGAGCAAATACTCAGTGAAAATTTCGAAACGTATCGTATGGAGTAAATGCCAATCTCTAATATTGTAGAGTCAAAAAGTAGCATCATCAAAATACTTGAGTAAAAAAATACTTGATCGATTAATTATAAAATTAATTTGGTTTAATCGTCCGGGAGTTGCATCCCTTTAACTCCTAGTGATGGAATAGTTCATGAATGTAGAACATCATACAGAAAAAGATTCGTTGCAAGAAGCAAATATGTAGAAAGTAAGAAAAAGTTTCCCAACAAAGCAGTACTTGCGCCTGAAGATATGTGAAATTGTTTATTCATCCCGATACAGCTGCATGACTGGAGCTGAATTCTGCTGCCCAAAATTTTCCACTTTAATCAGTACAAATGCGTAGTTCAGACTGAGAGCTCTCAGTATAATTGCGTCACTCGAATTTCGGCCATTTTCCAACCTGGGCGATAGCTTTATCTTTCAAGTGGATTTCGCTATGACACAAAAAGTATTCGTCGAAATTCAAAAGACATATAAGAAGTCATAGTAAAATCTGTGGATTTCAAACATTCGTTATCTCCCTATATCAGAGCTTTTTCACGACCAAAATGAGACATTTATTTTCAAGCAATGAATTTGATGTTTTTTTTTCAAATAGATTGAATAAATCGTGGGTTTGTTATACAAAATTCATAATATTGTTATGATACGATCAAATACGCTAACTAATCTGAGGAGATTTGATTGTGAGATACAAATCAGTTTACTACTTCTATGAAAATAACACTTAGTTTACAGAATGCCCTATTTTATTGAACCGTCGAGAATGAAAATGTCAATTTAGCGAATTATTTGCCAAGTTGGACTTCTGTGCGAACTAGACACACTGTTTGGATTTATAGGCGAAAGAACGCAAAATTTGCGCAGTTGCATTTAATGAGTAACACTTTTTGGCAACGCATCTTCTCATTCAGTTCTTTCGTAATTGGCGATGAAGCTACGTGACCGAGACAAGTCAATTGTTATTTGTGCGTCATTTTAGCCGTGTTCTATATAGATATAAAGCAGCATTGTTTTCCATTGTAGACATACGTATAGACATCTCAAAAACAAACATACTCTCTAAGATTTTTGAAGGCCTTCTTTACACAATTTTTAGATTTAACTATTTACGTTTTATTTTTTTTTGGACGAGACGCATTTTTTTTCTTCATCAATTGAGTATCGATCGCTATCACCGATCATATGACAGTTGTCCTCAGTTTGGTCTCTGATAGCATTTCTCTGTTATTGTTCTGCTACTGATAGCGATAAAGAAAACTCAAAGATCCAGTAAAATTCGTATAAATTCTGGTCTCACTGGTAGGAGGGTAGCAATCGTTATTTGGATAGTCAATTGATATTTTTCAAAGTTATCATAATATTTTTATAGAAAAAATATTCCGTTAAGAAAAATGAAGCAGTTAGTACTTATTTGCGCTGTGATCTCTGCAGCAATGGTAATTTTTTTCTTTTTTTCTTTTGTTCTTTTTTGTAAAAACAAAATTTGATTGAATATTTTCCTTACCTTTCAGCTTGTAAACGGATCACCCAGTGAACAGGAATATGATGGCCTTCTGGCTATAGAATTTTCAGGAGAGAACAACAGTAGTATCACCGAAGAGCAGATAAAATGCCTTCGGGTAAGCTCATTTCCGATATATTACACTAATTCGCTTCAGATTCTTCTAGAAGCCACTCAATATTCGTTTGAATGATTGAATGAATCGGAATCGTTTGCTTTTCCAATAAAAAAATGTTTCAGGCTGGTAAAAAGCAGGTCATCGAATCCCATCCAAGTTTGAAACCATGGTTTGATGACATTGCAAAGACATCGAAATTTTTGGCGAAATACGTTGATCGCTGCCGTGCAATTCACAATTCGTTCGTGAAAAAGTAAGTGCGATATTTAAAACGAGCTCGCAAACAATATTCCACATTGAAAATTAAATCAAAATCATAAAAACTCATTTAATTCGTCACAGAATATGCTTCAAGACGCTTGGATTTATTACATCAACACAGCGACGCCGATTGTTCGGAAAGCTGAACGAAGTGAGTGTGAATTTAAATCGGCTGGAGCTTGTGAATATTTAAGTTTTTTATGTTGCAGGAGCAAAAAACTGTTGTGCAGGAAATCAAACAAGTCTATGAAGAATGCCTGAAACCAGAACCAACAACAACAACAGCAGCAACAACAACAACAACAGCAGCAACAACAACAACAACAGCAGAAACAACAACAACAACAGCAGCAACAACAACAACAACAGCAACACTATCAGACACATTTATTGAATTGAAGCCGTTTGATTTTCCTCAAAGTGACAACCAATGAATATTTTGCATTTTGGTAAGACCCGAATAATTGAAATAAATCAAAAACTTTATTTAAATTTTGCTTTTGACAAAATAATAATTTTATATAAAAATATTGACTAAACTGTAAGTGAATCAATTGTTTTTTTTTTAAATCAAATAAAATATTTCAGACAGCAGACGAACAGCATCATTGAAGCACATCCAAAGCATAGAAATATGAACATGTCATAAGTCTGTTAGAAACAAATTGTATTGTGAAATACATGTTGCCGTAAAATTGAAATCAAATTAAATGAAAACCAAATACATTTTTAATATTCGGAAAATAACACAAGTAATTATTTAAAATCTGATCTCCCATTGCTTATTTGTCAACAAACCCTTTCGTATTGCCTGAAATCGACAAAAAAAAAACAAATAGTTATCCCCACTGATATAGTTATCTCTATTTACTTCCACTGATAAAGTTCGACTATACCATTAAAATGATTGAAGGTGGCGTTTTAGTTGCAACAATATTCCATTTTGCCCCAGATGTCATTGCAACGTTCCCATTTCTTGTCACGCCATCCCGGGCCCAAGGTATTGCACCAATCTCCGGCAGAGTGAGCGTGGTATCCAGTCCAACGGCATTCAGCTTCAACCACGGACACCATCGCCAGACCGACAATGACCAAAATGCACAATGTGCACTAGGGTGTTTTCGGCATCGTTTAATCAAAAAATGGTATGCCTCCATCGATAGATCCCAGAATTCTGAGTCGATTGATAATATTTTTGTCGCGGATGGACTTGTGATGACACTTCCCGAAGCTGAAAACCAAAACAGTTTTATTCTGAATTTCCATAGTGACCTGTGACAACAATTTGTTTTGAAATTTGAAAGCAAAAATTTGACAAGAAAACATAAAATTGAATCTAGTTGTCCTACGTTATTATAGAAATTTTGAATAGAACTGTTTTTGTTTTTAGTTTCGGGAAGTGTCACCACAAGTCCATCCGCGACAAAAATGTTATCAATCGACTCAGAATTCTGAGATCTATCGAATGAGACTAACCATTTTTCGATTGAACAATGCCGAAAACACCCTAATGTGCACACCTAAATCTGTCATTTTAAAATTAGTGTATGATGTAAAATTTATCGTCAACAACGATTTGTCATATCGCGTTTTTAGGACCGAAGTGATTGTGATTAATAATTATAATTGATTGCAACACAATAAGTGCCTTGCGTCATTCATAATAATATCATTTCGTCGAATTTCAATCATTTCGTCTGAAGTTCAAATGGAATTTCCACGTAAATAGAGATTCTTAGCAATTCAAGCGACGCAATTGCAGTGAATATACCTAATTATGTTCTGGACGCAATTTGTTGATATTAATGCCAAATTTTCAGCGAACTGGCGAATATTCGTTATTTGTACAGTAGATTCTGGTAATGCAAGAAGAACAACTCTCAGTAAGATAACAACTGAATCGGTGCGACAAAAATCCACCTTCGAAACATTCGGATAACATTGTTCAATTGTATTGGATTATATGAAAAATCCACACATGGCGAAAACTT